GGAGCTTGGCATCAACTTGCCGGCGTGTTCGCCACTCCCGGCGAGCAAAGTCTGGAAGCAGGACGGCAGACGCAACGCTGTCAGTGATCTTTCCGCTATACAACCTGTCGAATCTATGGAAGAACGGGGCCAGCGGTGGCTGATCTAACCTCGATAGCCTAGCGTAGCGGCCAGGTTACTCATGGCCGAGATAGTCCGTTTCGCCTTGTCAATGCCTGCTATTGTCTGTTGAACTGAGCTGTATGCTACAGAGATCCAGGGAATGATACTTGCGCTACGAATTGCCAATGATACAATGCCTGCCCACCCTGGGTTCACAAAACTCTGCATATGGACAGACAACCAGGCAGCAATACGATCAGCAGCCAAGCCCAAAGGAAATTCAGGTGCATATCTGATTCGACTAGTCTTGCAACGCATTGACGAACTACAAAGAAAAGGAGTAAAGGTCGAGATCCGGTGAATTCCGTCACACAAAGGCGTCCGAGGAAACGAAGCAGCCGACAAGGCGGCCAAGGAAGCCACGGGCTGGAGAGACGACAATAGCACAGGACCTCGAGCAAGAGCCCTCACGGGACTATAAGCCCTCAGGACGACGACGAAGACGTGGATTCATAAAACTGTCTATAGAGGCAAAAATAGCATGGCCTCCAAAGGTGATGGTTCTGTTGCGAGTGCCGATGACGACTAACGCGTATCCATAGAAACGTCGTACGTCCTAACCGAAGGACAATCCACGGAAGGCTGCCAGGTGCGAGGAAGAACGTACAATCGATATTCACAAATTCTTCCAAAACGGCAAGAGCAAACACAAGATCTTCAGGGTAAATTGCGATAGGAACTAGTGGATTCTGTGGTGCAAGGAACATAGCATGACCTTCAATACTAAGCAACCGCTCAAAGGTGCTGGCAGGCATATATATACCGACTAGCATGGGTTCGCGAACAAGTCGAATAAGATAGCCCTCGCGCTTCTGGGTTATAAGGTGCTCAATTGCACTCCTCAGCTAATAGAGGAGAACAACCGCGCTATGGACGCCGATTTAGAAGCCCGCGAGCCTCACTTGCCATGCAGAAGCGGGCGTCGGAGCACGATATCTGGCGGTGACGGTGACGATACCGAAGCCGACTTTGTTCTAAAGAGACATATAAAGAGGTCTATTTAGCGTAGGACTGAAGCTATATCGCAGCCTATGTTCGATCCCAAACCAGGCCAGATTTACCTTACTTAGGTATACCAGAACATAATAGCGGCAGTATATCTGTCACTCCCGTCTAGTGTCGAAGGTCCTGGCATTACCGGGCTGCAGGCATAGACAGAGGATCTCGAGAAGGAGATAGCAACCGACCCTCCGATGTACTATAAGAATAAAAATGGCGAATTTGTGTGGGCCAAGGACTATAGAGGCGATAGACCTAAGATTCGGGAGCGGCAATATCCTATTATCCTAATCAATAATCTCAATATAAAGAAATAGACGCGGGCATGGATTCCAGTAGTGGATCTCCAGGAAGTCGAGGAGACTGATCCGACTTTATAATCCGTCGCTAACCGTAGTGCTATTCTCAGGGAGCTACAAAGACGAGAGAACCTAGAACGAGACAAGAGTGGGCCCGCCGCAGGGATAAACAGGCCTAGTGGTGTTGCTCCTGGTAGCGATTTCTCGGCATGTTACTCTCCCGCAACAAGCCATGGGATACCAGCGAACGATCAAGCAAGAGGTTCTATGGTTACGGAAGGCGTGAAAGGGGCGGAAGGTACTCAAGGCCAGGACTAAGTCAGCCCAAACGCCACGGACGATACGGAGAAGACTTCGTATGCCCAAGAGGCGAACCAAAGCATCCTAGAAATAGCTAACAATTCTCATTATAGAGTAGCCACAGAAGCTACCGTAGAGCCGAGCCGAGCCAGAGAACAGCCTACACTAGAGCAATGCCGCGGCTTACGAGAAATTTTACCTTCAGTGACGTTAGGTGTTAAGCCAGAAATGGATATCCTTCTTTATGAGGCGTAAGGGGCGGAAATATAGCACGAAAATGGCATGGTTACTGGCAAGTGTGGTTCTATTAGTTCCGAAGCCTTAGGTGGTGAGAACGAAAAGATCACCCCGATAAGCAAAGCTTCGATAGACGTGAGAGACTTATTGAATAACCCGGCGGTCCTAATATCTCCTACGAACGTCGCCTAAGACTTCCTTCGGAACATAGCCCGATAGCGCTCGTCCAAAACCGGCTACTGTGGCAGCGCCAGCGCGGCTTCTTTTCGATCATCAACGTAGATTCATGTACCTACAGATCCAGGCTTCACAAACAGACAAAGTGCACGAATAGGAAGCTGAATTCGCTCACAGCTGTACCACGGCCTTGTAACATCTACTTCGCTTTGCTGTGTTCTTGCCGGCACCTGTCCAGACAAACCCAGGGCTGTGCTCATCTCTAGTTGCCCTCCGCGTTGATTCAACTCACTCACTTTCCCAGCTTCCTTAGGCTGCTATTAACTTGTCGCGTAGCTCGCAGGTCACGGCAGGCAACAGTGTGTAGCCTGTACAAGGATTTCCAGCGCGTGATCAAAGCACCGCCCCCCTTAGATTAGAGTTGACGTTCAGTGTGCATGCAGGCTGAATTCGCCTTTAACCCCCCCGTGCAGAAGCACCGATGCAATCCGTAGGCGCTGTAAGGGCATATCTCCAGCCTTGTATGTTTGATTTGGCTCGAAGCCGAGAGCCACGCACATGGCGTTCGTAATTGTGTGGACGCCGCAGTCCCAACTGTTCGTCTGACGGGGTGTCTTGATTTTCACCGCCTTCCACTCGTTCTTATCGAACTTTTCCTCTAAGACGTCCTTGATCCACGCAGCGATGAGGCTGATATACTTCTCGTTGGCGCAATCTGTCAGTGAATCTATGTGTGACATGGTTCTCTTCTGCGGGCGAACCACAATAAGAGTCCAATGCTTGTTTTCGCATACGGGTATGATTATGCTGTCAATGTCAAGGAAATTCGTCTTTCGGACGCCTTTACGACCTAGTGCTCGCTGTGTATTGCGGACACCTCTATCTCGAATATGCTGGAAGAAAAAGGAATTTTGAACAAGAATCTTGCGGGTTTCTGTCTGGACATCGGTGATGCCAGACGCCAAGTTAATTAGCGTGATCCAGCCATAGAAGAAGGCCGTTGACAATCTCGTCATTGAGCCATTTCGTCCGAGGCACGACTGTGGCAAAGTCGTGATATCGCAGTCCTGTTTTGTCCGCAGTGACGGCCAGAGTCTTGTCGGCAGGAGCACTCATGGCGCTGCGTGTACGTTTGATCCATGCATCAGGCAATGTCGATATGAGCTGGGTCTTTGGTGCGTGGAGCTTGCCCGTGGACGCTGGACGGTGCTCATCCGCCCTTCGGGCCTCCTATATTATTTCCCGCCCGTGCGCCACCGCGACAGTACCTCGACGACCGAGTAGGGATCTTAATTTCCGAGTCGAAAAAGCGCGGGTTATCCTCGCTAAAGGCTAGGAATATATAATTTTAATAGGTAGTCACATTGTCCGGCTGCCCGTATTAGGTATTAGGAATCGGGGTGAAACACTAGAGCTTGCACTCTACTAAACTATAAATAGTACGGTTGCAAATCCAATGTGAAGATAACAGAGGCCAGAAGACTTGGAAACACCCACACGTTTGAAGCGATCCACTTTCGGTGAGCCATCGACTACTCGAGTTATAGAGGCTTTGCCACTCCGGGGTCAGCGACTCCCACCACTTGTTTGTGCTAAGCTGAACGTGAAACAGGCGAAATCCGTCGACACCGTGAGAGAAACGCAACGCGATATACTAGCTCTCGATCGCAGAACAGAGCTAAAATAAGTAGAAGACTAAACGTAGAGGATCCTTGTCGAGTAGCGAAGTATTACGTCCCTGGACAAAAGAACCCGCGTCCAATCTTAACACTAGATAATATTAGGAGAGCACTTAGGTAGATACTTAGGATAAAAGTAATTCTCGGCACTTCGGAGAACGGCGTAAGGAGGATAAAAGACGAGACACCGAGGATTATATTGCACAGGGTATCTTAGTCCCTTCTAGGAGTCTAATAGAAATGATGCTTTGCTTCTGCTCTGAAAATCCTACTTGATTATATGGCTTCTACCTAAAGTAGTGTTCTCGTTCCACTTCTAACAACCTATCGTTAGAGTCGCGTCCACAAAATATCCCCGATTCTTTGTCATATTATAACCAAGTGGTGCCCATGGAGATTACTCTTCCCGTACCTATGTTAGTACAAACTCACTTAGCTCCTTATTTTCCTTCTCAGGAAAGAATTTTGAACTAACCTCTATTTACACCGATCGCTTTTGGGTAATATTCTAATAATATAATGTCTCCTCGTGAAGGATTTTATCTCGTAGTTTTAGGGCCAACGGGCGGATCTCTTTTTTTAAGCGTTTGGCTCGCGGGAGAAAAGCTCTTAAGTCAGATCATTTTCGCTTCCCCGAGCGATCTTTGGCAATGCTTCTAGCAATACGTCCAACACGTCGTTATAGCCGGATGGATCGACATTGTCTACCTTGATGGCCCTTGGGTTCCAACTCGTATCCGAGAAATAGGAGGGGAAAGGTTAGTCCTCGTGCTCACGACACTTCCGGCCCGTCCTCAGAGCGCCGGTCTGGACAATTTTGTAAACCGCAGCTCGCAAGGACCGGTCATCACTATCCCACCACTGCTCATGTGGCCTCCCCTTACTGATATCCTTTGTCGGCTGCCCCTGAGGGTCCCATAGGATACTATCCTGCCAATCATGTGGCATATCTTCCCCTAGTATAGATAATATAGCTCATTAGATTCACCGGGGAGATAACCTCGAAAGGATTCGAGAAAGGGCCTTCTCCAGACCTAAGTCGAAATATACAGTATCCAAGAGCCCAGACATCACTCGCCAGTCCGACTGCAACTTCAGGCGCTAGGAAATCGAGGTCATGCAAATTCATATAGATTTATATCGACCCCTACGACTCTCCGCAGGCAAAGAAATTAAAAACATAAGAGAGAAGAAGGGTAGCTACTGCCGATAGCCCAAGGTGCCTCCACATCCTGCCCGTCACGAAGACAGGCGCAGGTACAGCCGCGTCCTCGACGGGCGCCGTAGTCTGCGTGGTAGCGATAGCCTGAGCCTCGGCCTTTATCGGCGTATTCGTCCGGGCTAGGCTCGGGCTACGGGCACGAACCCCGGCCTCGAGTAGTAGCTGCTCGATGTCGCGATGCCCAATCTTCTGTGCCGCATAGAGCGCCGTCCCGTAGTCGCCGACCTGGGCCTGGAGGTATACATCGGCCCCGGCCGCGAGCAGGGCCTGTACCGTCTCTGTCGATCCTCTTGCCGCCGCCGCACAGAGCGCCGTCCCGTAGAGGCCGACCTGGGCCTGGAGACGCACGTCGGCCCCGGCCGCGAGCAGGACCTGTACCGTTCCTGTCGATCCTATCGCAGCCGCCGCACAGAGCGCCGTCCCGTAGTCGCCGACCTGGGCCTGGAGACGCACGTCGGCCCCGGCTGCGAGCAGGACCTGTACCGCCTCTGTCGATCCTACCGCCGCCGCCGCACAGAGCGCCGTCCCGTAGAGGCCGACTTGGGCCTGGATATGCACATCGGCCCCGGCCGCGAGCAGGATCTGTACTGTCTCTGTCTCCCCCTCCGCCGCCGCCGCACAGAGCGCCGTCCCGTAGGGGCCGACCTGGGCCTGGAGATGCATATCGGCCCCGGCCGCGAGCAGGAACTGTACCGTCTCTGTGTTGCCTCTCCACGCCGCCGCCGCCGCACAGAGCGCCGTCCCGTAGTCGCCGACCTGGGCCTGGAGATGCATATCGGCTCCCGCCGCTAGTAGGGTCTGTACCGTATCTGCGTTGCCGCTCCACGCCGCCGCACAGAGCGCCGTCCCGTAGTCGCCGACCTGGGCCTGGAGATGCACATCGGCCCCGGCCGCGAGCAGGATCTGTACCGTCTCTGTGTTGCCTCTCCACGCCGCCGCCGCCGCACAGAGCGCCGTCCCGTAGTCACCGGCCTGGGCCTGTGCGTTAAGATCAGCCTTGCTCCGAAGTTGCTCTGTCGCTAGCACAATCCGTGCCAGATTGCTATAGCCTCCGACAGACAAGATATAGAGAAGATCTGCATCCACGTTCGCCCTCGTCTCATAGTCGCCCGCAGTAGCCTGGACGAACCCTACCCACCATTTGGGCCCCGTCGCCTGCTTCTCGAGCCATGAGACCACTGCCTCTTGCGTATCTGCCCTGGCCGCCAGGCCCGCGTCTCCTGTACCCCCTATATCGATAGGAAGTGCCATTGCCTTATCTGCATGGGCAAAGATGTGGCTGGTGGCGTAGTCGAGAAACGGGTAGTCATGCTGGAGCTGGGTGGCCCACTCTGCGCTTGGCCGTCGTTGGAGTGGATATTTGTGATCCCATGCAATACATTGCTCTATGTAGCGCCAGCAGATAGCCCAAAGCCGGCCATGAGTCGCGCTGATAGGGTCGGGACCGAGAGTCGGGTCGAGCTGGCCGAGTCGGCCCTGGCGGAAGAGAAAGTCGTTAACGGATAGGTGGATGAACTGGACCTCAAGTCGCTGCTCATCGTCGCCACTATTGCGTACCAAGTCTACGTTCCTTGAATTTTCACTCTTCGGCTTTCGTACTTTAATAAGGCCTCGGGAGGTTAAGATAACCCGTCGACGCATATCATCCGCCGTCAGCCGGTGCTGCGTTAGCGCCTCCTTCTTGCCCGTAGCCCATGTTATAGCATAGTAGAGCTCGTCGAGGAAGAGTGGCCGCTGGCTCAACAATACCCACTGTAGCGCCAGCACCGTCTCCTCTCGCTTTCCCTCTTCCCGGCTCACCAGGGCCTCGAAAATCTTCTCGATATTATCAGGCATAGACTAAAGTGCCGTCCATATTGTCTCAATCTTACCATCGTCATACGCAATATTGAGTTACTCAACCACCAGCACCACCCACAGGAAGACGCCATCTGCCCTACGCCGGACTTCAGCCTGGAGTTCAGCGTTATCTCCCACGAGCGTATCGCTAATATAGGTCTTAATGTCCTGGCCATGCCCGTCTGCCTTGTCCACGGAGAGCGGCAGGTGCTTCTGCATTGTGATTGTAGGGTAGAGACGGCTCGACAGGCAGACCCGGAGCGTGACGTTCGCCTGCGCGGCGCAGCGACTTAGCGTCTCGAGCGTTTTCACGACAGCACGAACGCTGTCGTCAGAGCACTCATCAAGGGCATCGACTAGCAAGAGCAACGGCCGCCCTGCCGCTCCTCCGTTCTGCGTCCCTTGCCATCTGATCACCTCCATAAGAAAGTCGCGGAGCTCGGAAAACGACCAATCATATGGCGTTAGAAGGCCCCTGATGCGGCCTCCAGCCCTCGCCTCGTCAACGTTCAGGCTCGTCTTGTCAACGTAGCGCAGTACGAAGAGTCTGTAGACGGTATCATCGTGCTTGACAAGCTCGTAGATAATCGACCGCAGTATGCCTAGGGGCGACTTCTCCAGCGCATCGCCCCGCGCATTGAAGAAGTACGCGGCGATCAAGTGGTTGGGGAAGTGGTACTGGCAGTAGTGGAGGGCATGCTTCATCAGCGTGGACTTGCCGGCGCCGGGCTTGCCCTTGAGCCAGAGCACGCCGTGGTGGTCGGCGAGGCGGTCGCGGCGGCACCACTCGCGGAACTCAGGGGTGTCGAAGAGCCAGTTGCAGGTGCCGGTGAGGGCAGGCTCGATGTCGTGCCGGCGGGCGCCGAGTCGGGCAAAGGCCAGCGAGCGCAGACAATCTGGACGGCATCAGGATGACATGATCACGGGCATCGTCACGGGAAACACAATATGCATGGGTCTCCGGACATGTGGAAGGAAGTACAGCCATATGCAAAGACGCTGTATAGTCGAGAATGTAGTTGGTGCTATGACATACCTTCCCTCTTGTCCTGGTGGACGGTTTTTCTATTTATACTTTCTCCTTGAGCTGTTTAATAGGTAAACAACACTGATTATTCAATAAAATAAGAGACGTCGCAACTAACTAGCAATGTTGGCTGTTCTAAAAAAATTCTGTTGACCTGCATTGTTTTGTGTGCCGCTGCCAGCATTGGTAGTATATGGGCTAGATTCGTGGTTGGCGATGCGCAATCCGCCTTGGCAGGACGATGGCTGAACGGCTTTGTCTGTTTGTAGATAGCGCTCAAGAACGGCTTTGGAGACTGAAGCGGCAGTTGCTGCCGCATAATTCTGCCAGCCCTTGTGCTTGTGGCTGTCCGCGTAGTCGCACACCCCTTTGATCAGGATGCAGGGAACCTCATCCCAAACGCCCGCTCCCTCCATCTCAAATACAATCGCCTTAGTCTCTTTGAAGATCTTGTTCCGATGGGCAGCCGACCTAAGGACCAAGTCGCCCGAAGCAATGACCCCTGTATAGGCGGCAGGGGATTGTGTTAAGCGTTGGGCCCTAGGCTCTAGGTAGCTGTGATCATAACCGAGATCATCGCACGACGACTCGAGCGCCTCCGGACAGACAGGGTCGAAGTCTCCGAGGCAGCTTTAGCAGATACAGTCCAGGTTGTTCTGATGTTTATGGCGGTAATCCGACTTGAAGAGCCTGTCTTAAACGGCTCCAGGGCAGTCGTACTTCCCGGACCGCCTTCGGGGCAGTTTTTGCTGCAATTCCTACAGTACTTGTGCGGATCGTTCCTCCAGCCTGTCGAGTCCACGGTCTGATTCGAAGACTGCTACTAGATTTCGGACATCTTTGTTCGCTCGGCCGAGGTTATCTTCGACGCTATCCTTGCGCATAAACTTGTTAGGGTGCTGCCTGCCGAAGTCGTATTGCACTACGCTCTTGCTAATAATAACGTCGCCCAAAAAGATGCCATAGCCGTTCGCGTTATGAGGCATACCACCGCACACGCCAACGACGAGTGCGAGTCGAATATTGACGTAGCTCGACCGTATGCTTGCAGCGGCACTCGCGGCGTTCGCTTTGCCTATGTGTGGCAACTGAGCTAGTACGATGTTGTAGGCTCCCATACGGCCAGTAATATAGTGGTTTAGGTCGCCATTGGCACGGCCGTATCGATCGCCGTCTTCGTCCTAGAACTCGTCGAAAGCTGCCTCGACGGCATTACGCTCGCACGTCAGCGCGCAGATGATAGCGATCTCGAAGTCGTCGCGGCGAGCGGGGCATATGGGCAGTCTGGTCTGCATGGTGCGACAGCAGGTGTCGCTGTGCTTGGTCAAGGTGCTCTGTATAGGATAAGGCTGTTATGCTAGCGATCAGGCCGAAAGCGTGGGCGCGTCCATTCGCTATGAGCAATAAGCGAGGGGTGCAACAACGCAAGTTAACGCAGGTGAAGCCTGGTCATGCGCTGATGGTGGCTGAGCGGCCGCCTCAGCCAACCACACGTGATTTTCGTCGCCGCCAGCCGACGAGGCTGTGAAGCCTATCCTCTAAGCTGACACAGATGGCGAGGACACCAGGCGCGGAGACGACTTTGCGGATACCATGATTCAGGGCGGAAGACCATAGAACGGACGGAGCATACCCTTGTCATGGGCACAATAGACTTTCTGCTTTTCGGACGGCCGTAGAGCGCCATGACCTACTCAATTATCGAGAGATTACGACACGCAATGCTGATAGACGACGAGAAGCAAGGCACGACTCATGGCATGCGGCCTCGAAGTCACATCAGGATAACATCCTGCGGATAGTGCCGTCCGCACTAGCGAGCGGGCCGAATGATATGTAGATGACGTCCACGCCGTCGGAGACAGAATACCAGAGCCTAAAACTACGGACATGCGGTGCGTGCAGCGCTGGCACCGCCTCCGGAGATTATAACCAATGCATGGGGGCGCTTTGGACTATATTATAATCCCAGCAGATCAAGGTGCCATGCCAAAGCAGTAGCTAAAATCAGTAGCTAAAATCAGACGACGCGTCGGAGAGCTCTATGCAGGCAGGTGGAGAAACTGACATTTCGTGAGTAGTAGAGGACAGACGCGCCGCGCGTCGGACGGCAGTCAGCGCGTGATGGCGGTGCGGGTGCACAATCGGGTACTTGACGCGTTCCCAAAACCCCGAGATTCCTTGGTCGTCCCTCTAGGGTGCACGCGGCGGCCATAGAAGTCCGGATACTACGCCAAGGCTCAAGCACGAAGCCAGTTGCCTGAGGTGAGAATTGAGGCGCTTTTGGAGTTGCTGGCGTCCACTCACTGTAAACGCACTGTGTAATCTTGCGGACGCGCGCGGCTAGAACTTCTAATTAAGTGCTGCAGCAGCCACTTCGTCATGTTCGTCTTCCTCCGCTAAGAATAAGTACTGGCCACTTTGAGACGGAGGGGCCAGCGCCCTACAACGGAAGTCGGGATAGCGGAAGCCACAACCTCGGA